CGCACATAGGTGTCTGGATTATCTGATCATTACATACAAACTCTGTCGTCTCTCTCCAAGTTTGCCTGATACCATTGCATGGTACACCATGACTGAGTGATACAAGAAAACAACCAAATCCACACAATCGCTCCAAAATTTCTCAAATCACCGGCCAGGCAACGTATAGGAAAACATGTCCTGATCAATCATTGAGGAGATTTTCAGCCCACTTCTCGAGGAATTCCCCCTTCTTAATTGGACTCAAAATTCTAGCCACGTGCCAGCTGAATTGCCTTATATGGTAAGAAACAGGATCGATGGAGTGGAAAGCATGCCTAGCGTGGGACGAGGGCCTGTGTGTGTTGAGTGTGTATACTGATGAATGCTAGGAGATTGAAAACAGGCCAACGGGCACAGTTTGAGGCCAGCAAGAAATGGAAGAGAATGCCTGACCCCTGGCTGTGAGAACGTAATTCTGGCGTACGCCGACCTGGGGAGGGCTAGAACGAGCCACGTGGATGACGTAGCAGGGGTTATGCCCACACCAACGGGAGGAACAGAGCCGGAAAGGGCAGCCGTGGAACACAATAATCCACAGCCTGCTGCGGCTCGGGGCTGGCTTTCCTCGAGGTCAAAGCCAGTCATGTTGCATTGGCAAGGGAAGGATGAATGGATTTGCAAGCACGCGGGCAGCTTCTTAAGGTTGTCTGAAATTGGGCGACATGCAGGACAACTGACAGATTAAAGCCTTATCTCAAATGAGATCTCTCCATCCGGTCCAATACTACAAACAAATTGCAATAAGCTTCAGGACAAACTATTCACGTTGTATCTTTTTAGTTGCTTCAGCTGTTACAAAGGCTTGTATATTAGGTTTGGGTTTTAGTTGGGAGGGAGATTCCCTTAAACATCCGACGTTAACAGAATAAAAAGGGGCCTACGGAAGTAATTTTCAAACAATACCTGTCAACAGATATGTAAGAATTGCTCAAACGTTACACTAATTCGATTGAACGGAATTTGAAAGATTTTTTTCACTGTGCATTCAAAAGGTATACTAAACAGCCGTTGTCACATAGTGTTTGAGAGTCAAGCCGCAAGTTCATGCACGATGTTTAACAAAATGTTAACACCAATTTAATCCTCTGTGAATATCTTCATGTAATTGTATGGGCCTATATGAACATCAAATTTGCTAACCTTTTTACTTAAATCTCAAATGATTCAATCTTTTCAAGCGCATTTCAAGAGCAAATATGAATGTTAAAAAATGACTTCCCATTAAATACTCCGATAAAAGTTGCATCAGCACATTAGAACAGAAGCCATTAATCTCATTTACCGCATGAGTGGCTCCCGATACCAACATTTTGCCTCTTACAATTACACTAAATTCACATTCAATCACTTTTTTCTTGTGGAATTATCAACCAAATTCAGGATTTTATTGAGCTTTGCAATGAAGTGCGGGAAGTGACAGTAACATAAATCTGTAATGTTCAACTGGCTCATTTCCATTTTTAAAATATGCCCTGCACTATCTCTATATGACCCTTTTCTCCCGCCTAAAACTGAACTGCCAAATCCACCCACAAAAACATACCAACAAGGTTAATGACACTGGAGAGTGCACTGAGTCGTCAAAATTCAGAGTTCAACTTCATTTACACAGTGTAGTCAGGTCCCCGGGTTCCATGACCGTGACTTCGCTAAATGACTTATCGCACCGTCAGATCCTATTAAAATACTGACGAGGGTTGTATTTCGTTCAAATTGAGATTTATCACAGACCGCGGTTGCAGCTGCCGAGATATCCTTTCTGACCGATGACATAAGTGTATATCAAGTTGGATCTTCATCAACAAGACAATTTGTAGAATGGACGTCATCGCTTCAGCTTTTGTCATTTTTCAGAGGAGATATTACCTCAAGAAAAATCAATGGGTACCCTTCAAAGAAAAACTGCAGTCTCTAGTAGGCCTACAACTGTTTGATTTGTTTCTGAAAGTATCCTTCCAACTTCCTACTTTTTTATTCGATTAGCCAATTTGGATGGCCAATTTAGAAATGTACATGTATGTGCAACAAATGTATGAACAAAACGTACATATTGCTCCTGATGTTAACAGTTTTAAAGTAACTAAGGCTGCATCCGAATCTCTTGTCTAGAGCTAGGTCTAGGGCTTCACTCAATTGGAAATGCGTGGAGACGCGTAGACAGTAGACCTAGCCGTAGCTCCGGAAGCCCGTTTCGGACACGGCCTAATATACGCGTAATTTTTAACACGTACAGTGTATATGCAGTGCAATATTTTAACATTTAGGAAGTACTGAAACCTTTTGGAATTGATAAGACCTTTACGTGAGTATTAAGCCATTCAAGGTTAATATCGAATGACAGTCTTAACATTTGACTATGCCTAAATGGTTCCATTGTTACAAGTCGAAGGTAAAGTTAAAATCCAAACGTCAATATCCTTGGTTCATCCCAGGCGAAACCGGACGACTTTTTGTCAATTATTCATCAACGACAGTCTAATCCATCAGGTAACATAAAAGTTCGCCGGCTCTGATCAGGCAGCTCACAATAACTGCTTTTCAGAGCTTTTCAAAAGATAATCTCTCCTGGACGACAAACACGTATTTTATATAGTGACGCGGCTCGAGTGTCTGCTGGCCCAATTGATCGATACCAGTCGATACAGATGCATTATGGTCGACTATTGATCGATGGGCGAGGTCAATGGGGATTATTTTGTGAATGTGGTGTGTCCTGTAAGCTGGCAGATCACTGCTATCGGTCATTCTGTAATCAATACAGGCATTTGTAAGATAGATAAAAATCGATGATTTAAAATTGCTTGACTTTTCATCAGCACTTGTTGACGAAGAGATATGCTGTTTATTGGGCTTTTGATGTAATAACATTTTATAAACGATAGAGATATTAAAGAATCCAGCACAAATCTTTTTAATGGTAAAGATAAATAATGAGACAAGAAAGATATTCAAGAAGTAGAAAAGAAGGGCAAAAACCAAGGGAAAACGATAGTGAAGGAAACAATTAGTCCGAAATTTTTCATTGGATGTAAAACTATTACAGCGAAAAGCTTTGGGCTTCGGCTTGAAATTGTTTGTCTACCACGAAAATTAACTTTCCGTTGGACAATGTGTTCTGTTAACAGGTCCCTTCTCATTCCACAACAATTTGAGATTAATTAAACTTCAATCAGATTCAGACACTGCAAATCAAATTTGTTTGGTGCACTGCATAAAATGATGACAGTTAAATCAATCAAAGAAAACCAAAAACCAAAATGAATTAATTGCTGTTTTCAAACCATGCTTTAGCCCTACGGTATGATAATGGTCATTCAGCTCCAAACAGCGCAATTTGATCACTGCATCTATTTGAACAAAATCAAGTCACTTTGAAACTTCTTTTGCAAAAGGCGCTGTTGTGAAAGTGTCACTAAACTTTACCAAAATAAATTTCGTTGCTACAGACACAAGATATCATTCCCACTACACTCCGTGAAAAAAAGAAACAAACCCAGGCCACGAACCGTCACAAAAAAATCAAATAACTTCACAACATCTCACTGGTCCAACCTTTAAAAAATTGAGAATTTCAGCGATTCCAGCTCAGACGCCATCTTGGCTATGACTTCTGACTTTCACTAGTACCGCGGGAGAAAAACTCTCCAATGCGAGGCTGTTGCTGGTCTTATTTTAAGTTATAAGCCTACGGAATAAAAGCCATGAAAGCAAAGACAGATTTATTGCACATAATAACGGAGTACGTCAACAAAATCAGAGAAATTAACGGCGACTAAGAAAGAGGTGGGTAGTTCATCAAGTTAGTTTGCTATCTAAAGTAGATAGCTGTGGTAACGTGACTTCTATCTTTGCAACCTTTAAACTAGCAAAGTTTTCCAAATTTGAAAAAGTTATCATTTTGATAAACACAATTTCAAGACAATTCAGGTATTACAGTCAGGACAATATACAAAATAAATTGATAAGCAGTGTTCAATTTCTTTTCACTGGAATGTGACATCTGATTAATTTAGTGGAAGTAGGCCTAGGTCAAGGTGACATTGAAAAAATTCAGATGAGATGCTCTTTACGTCCTTTAACAATGTGCAGACGGTGTAACATTTACTACTTTGCACACAATCATATACAGGAGGCATTTTATCAGCTCCACAAACGTCAATCGTCTTACAATGAAAAGAAAACAAAACAAAAGAACCAAAGGTTACGACGGAATGCCCATGTGCCTTCTTTCAAGCTACTGAGACATTATGTAGTCAATTTCTATCTCGTGTAGCCAGGATATGGATTTTGTTATTTGAAGTCGAATAAAGAAATAAAGCCTGAGGTTCAATCGGCGCTCCAAACGTTGATTTCTGCTACATTAAGGCTGTTGGGAAACATGCTTACTTCTCATTGTGTATATCGTTGTTAAAACACAGTTGGTTTCGAGTGGTGACTCGTGAGAAAATTTTCTGCTTCTCTCGGAACGGCATTGATCAATTTGTTTCATGAAAATTTCGCGACTTACACGAACGAGTGTTGTACTAGAGACCTCTTATGACCATCACAAAATCCAACAAGACGAGGCCTCTCACAAGACCAACACAAGACCTCCAGTCTGAATTCACGAGCTATTTACATGTGAAGGGTCTTCTGAATGGTCTCGTGCATGGTCTCGAGTCTGGTCTTGTGAGGTCTTGACTACAACACTGATGTGAACCCTACTATCCAGTTCATAGGAAGAAATGTCATCCTTATCGTTCATGAATATTCATAATTACACACTGCATACCGTATTCCTCTTGATAGAAAAGACTAACCTAAATCAAAATGTTCGGACAACCAAACAATCTAACTTTAAGACAAAAAAGCAAGACCTTGGGTACACCATAGTTTAAAGACGTGCATTTTACATTCGTAATTTTCTGACGTCCCTAGACGAAATGGCATGAGACTGTGAACTCGAGGCTACAACTTACCCAAATGGAGTGGAAATGGCGGGTATCGCGTGGCCAGCATGGTGATGGGCTAAGTTGACCTGCTGTTGTCTGGCGATGGCTAACTGGATCTGCTCTGCTGCTGTATTGAAAATATGAAATGGCATGAATTGGAAAAGATTGAACCAAATGTTTCACATCTATGTTGTAGTAATGAGCGCAGAATAGGATGCGTCTGGGACTGGCAAAGTTGAGCAAGCCGTCAGCCAATGTCTGTGTCGCATGCGGTTAGCATCTCTGAAAATGTTTCACACTGTCTGTGGGCAACCTTTCTGGTTTTTCACCGACATACTCGTGTTTAATTCGCGACAATTATTACTAGGTTTCTAAGAAGTCTGAGCTGAAGCTACGTTGCTGGAGGCTGACATTGCTTGAATAAAAATGTCATGCACTTCTCGAAAACGTTAACGGAGGTTTAGCAAATTATCAAAGACGCTTAGTTGTGTACAAAAGTAGTTTTTTTCTTATTGAACAATGCTAGTTCAGTATCTACACAATCCAAAATGAATTTGACGTCTCCGAACATTTGCTGCGACATTCGACACGAGGAGAAGTGGAAATGACTCCCCTTCCTTTGACGCCACCACTTCGCGATCGCATCAATTTGTTTTTGTGTTGGTACTTGCTATCGACTGCACGTGCGAAACCCGTGGTAAAAATTTATATGCAACGAAGGCCGTGAGCGACTTATCCGGTTACGTACTATGGGAATAATACAAGTGGTAATGGTAATAGCTACAGCCGGTGGCAGCCACACCTTCAGAAACAGCCAATATCTTGATGAACACGGACATTCTCCAGGAAGAGGACCTCAAATTTCCTTCCAAGAGGTCGTGTTTAGAGCCTAGAGAACATGTCGACGAGTAAGTAAATTACAGTAGAAATTGGTGTAGACGAATCGGCCTGCATGAGACTCTTTGCCCTTGGGATGCTGTGAGGTCTGCACAATAATCGTTATGCAATCTTTGTGAGCTATAGTGTCGCATGCTGTAGGGAAAGTCTTGTCAGCAAAACAAGGCCTTCGTGCCTTTACCAAGTTACAACAATCGGCGGCTCCAAATGTACATTGTTCGGCAATTGTGAACGTCCTTTCGCATTAAGCACACCCGTTGCGCTCACCGTGTTGTGACTTGATGTAGGTCCAAAGCAAACAATACATTTTCGCAGTCAGACTCTACCTGGTTACGGTACACAAAACGCTCCGAAAATACGTTCCAACTATAATTTCAGGGTACATAACACGCGTGTAATCTTATTTGGGGTGTCTTATGTCTACTTAAACCCTATTATTTACGTGTGAGAACTCGTTATTTACACGCGAAAAAAACTGGTGCGGCTTGCACGAGCAATGCTTCTGGTGACAATCCCCTTTTCCCCCTGTCACTGCATGCTGGCTCATAAACCGTAGCCTACGGGTTTCTCCAAACCACGGCAAGGCCGCCCGACCTTTATTTACTTGGTTCCCGACGGGTGTGCAAACTGTTCCCACAGTTGCGATCATTTGTACGGCTTTGTTCTCCACCATAAAGGCACATGCATTTTTAGGAGAAGAAAAATATTAGGAAATTGCTTAAGTAAACATCCACAGGATCCTTAGACTGTTTGTTTCCCCTTGAAAATGCGAACAGTGTTATAAGTTGTTCTGCTGTACGTGCTTAAAAACAAAAGCTGGAACTTTCTCGCTTTTCTTCCTGATGCAACACGGAAGATTTTAATTTTGGGGCTCTACTTCAACCTTTGACATTACTGCCATCCGAATTATGCTGCGAGCACATCCTCGTCGCTTGCCCCACTCAGAGTCTGCAAAACGCTGTCCTTTCGTAGGATAGACAGTAACACCTTATTCCAATAATTTATCCGCATTTCCATATTCAAAGAAAGAAAAGAAGCGTAGGAGTAGCAAAATCGGACACTTTAATAAATGATACAAATTTATAGCCGCTCTATCTGCAAGAATCGGACGCGACGCACGTAGGCCTGAAGATAAAATGTCCCTTTTCAATACATGCCTTGATAGCTTCACACAGTTTACCCATAAGAAACTCAAGATCACCATCATTCATGACATTTGACGACGATGCCGGCGGGGGCAACCTACTTTAAGCCAAACCATAAAAAAAAAGTTCGGCAACGATTCTGCAAGATCGCAAGGTACAGCCATACAGGCATGCTGGAATTAACGGTCACATCCAAACATGCATTGATACGATTCAGCTGTTGGCTGCTTTGTGGTCGCTCTACAATGCCCTGTTACGACTGCAACATAATGCTTCTGAGCGCATATACTTGGTGCGCCATTTGGTTTTCTATTTCCTGCCTCAGATTAGTTGTGCACGCGTTATACGATCTTAACTTAAAAAATAACAAACTGTTATTCATTACATGAACATGAATGTGACTTCGACAACGTACTTCTATGCTTTTAGTATACGTAGGCCGTCTGACTTGGAATAAATATCGAGGAACTTAAGCATGACACGCTAACGCAAAAATTCAAAAAGAATTTTCAAGTATGAGCTAGATGTACCAAACATTGGCAGCCAAAAGGTTTTCTTAATACTGTACTTTGGGATGATCTGCCTACCAGAAAATGAACAATCGGGAGCATTCCCATTTTGTTTCCTTTGCGCATAAGACACCTGCTGAAAGATCAGTAACAAGCTTCCCTAGCACACTTTTTTGTACGGAAAGCGCTTCATCATCTGTGCCCAAGTTCTTTGTTATTCTAACACTCGTCTAAATTAAATAGTCAAACAAACGGGGAAGAAATATCACTGGTAAGTTCAGAGCTTCTGAAGAAAATATGGCGGCCATTAAGGCCAGCGCTGGATTTATAGCAGTTAAAAGGAGAGACACAATCGTGTAGGGTACATTACACATGCATTAAGCGTAAACAATTGCTCCTGTTTATTTTGTTTATTAGCTCGGCGTTCGACGTGACAATATTTCGGGTCACACGGGGATCGGGGCTGGGTCTTGATACGTCATCTTTATTTTGCACGTAGAGGGGTGATTTATAATAGTTGTTGAACGAGGTTGTGGTGTTACCACATCAATTAGCTGTCGACTGCCAGCGGTTTTACAGCCAAACGTTGAAACTGGCGGGTTGAATTCCTCAGGTGGCTCAACCATGCCAGGGTGCAAAACAGCATCCGCCTATTCACTTGGGACAACATTAGGTGGAACAATGTCATACAATTTGTCTGACAAAATGGGCAGTCTTTCAAGCGTCGTTCGGAGGATGTGCGCTGGGGTCCGAATAGTTGACCTCGTCCGTCCGAAGTGAGTACACTCAGATTACATATACATGTATTTCCTGCATGAAGTGTTCCTGTTACGAGCATAAACATCTATTTAATAATGCAACATAGTTATCAATTTAGCTTGCCATATCATTTCGAAGACAGTGAATGACCTCCACAGGTTGTATATGCATCTTCAACCGGAATTGCGTCCACTGTGGAAAAACGCCATTAGCAAGAGTAAGTATGGATCGTACCAAGGTTGTTACCGTCATAGTTGAATAGCCCGGATGACACTGAGCACTCCGTACTTCAATGACGTAACTTCTATCAGTGTCATAGTTTCTGGCGGGACTACCTAGCCGTACCCAGTCCAAGCGTAACAGACATTACATGAAGGCTTCTGCATACTCATGAGCTTTTTTTTTTCAAATTGAACGTGTCTGGCTTATACAGCGTCAGAGAGCCATGGATCTTCGTTACTGGCGTTGCACCAGCTTAGTTTTCAACCCCGACCGTACTAGGAAGTTTCCTTTAAAAAATCTGGCGCGCCTGGTTCCGCATTACCTCCCAGGGCCTTCGAGAGGTCAAAGGTCAATCGTATAATGGCGGAACGTCGGCTGCCATGGCAACGCAGGCACGCCGAACTAACAACTGATCCGGTTGAACGAGGGTGAATGCAATAGGAGGGCCGTGTTTGGCTCTCCTTTAGTAACGAGTTTTTGTTTGAGGTTCGTGGGAAATCAACATTTCTTGGAATGCAGGATTAGGCATATAGCGTCCGTCCTTCAGGGATAACCCTTAAACATTCCCCGATACACAAACGTATGTTTAAATTCATTCACAAGTTCTTAAAAACCTACATTTGAAGTTTCTGGAGAATTAATGTCGCTTGTGAAGCCACACTATATGTATGTAAAATACAAAATGTGCCATTCCTGCTTCAAAATGTAAAGAAACGGCTGGTCTTGAGCACAAGTTTCCGGTTCTTCGACAATCCTGAGCTGTCGTTGGCACCTCGTGAAAATGTCTTCAGGAAACAACTAGAGGTCATGGGAGGTACACGATACTGTGTTGAACAAGGAGACTTTTACGTCGTTTGTGGGTACTGTATAGCTCTCAGACAACCATGAAAGGTTGCTGGATTTGAATGTGTTTACGTCACACCCGACAGTTAATAACGGACTAAAACGGCCTTGCCAGTTTCACGGCTACTTCTGCATTCTCATGTGCGGTAACACGTTATACGCCATTCAAAATTATTTTGGAATTTTTTACACGCTTCAGATCTCACGGCAACGAGAAGAAAAGAAAGGCTTACGGTGAGAACTAAAACCTAATCTCTGGTGAACGCCCAACAAATGATTACAAAACGAGTATCGAATTGAGGACTAGCTCTCTTGAAAGCAACCAGTCGGAACCAAATTCCTGTGTCACCTAAGTTGTTGCATCTACACACCACAAAAGAAGGCAGTTTTCTGCTAACTTGTGGGCTTCGGTTCCATGGTTATAGTCCCACCTAGGTCACAGATTAAAAGGAGCTTTTAAAAGGTACCAGTATGCCGTCTACTTGGAAAGTAACGACCCGGTGAGAGTTTCATGGTCCTATTTTCGATAATTACATACATACCACGTAGGCTAAATGTTATCTGTTGTAAAATTTGCATGATGAGTGTGTTGAGTTCTCCCAGGTTGCAATGCTTGGCCACGTGCCACTCCAGGCTCATCAAGCTTTGGTGTTTACTCCCCCGTTCGAATTTATCAACTCATGCATAACGAAAATCCTTGAGTGTCTGGTACGTGATTGCAAACCTGACTGGTAAAGTTCTTTCCACCCGGACAGGATGCATCACGGCAGCGGGACAGAATGAAAACAAAATGGATTCTTTGAGAAGAAAAACAAATCGAAGCTCTGTCAGTGTCTCGCGTTACCTGAGTTTAGATGAAGAGACTTTTGGATCCAACCTAGCTTCAGGAGTTTACGCAGAAATCTTATTTCAGTGAAAAAAGAGCGGTGTTTTCAATAACCTCAATCGTGTGGTGATTTTTAAAAATACGTTTCCATTGCTCGGAAGACAATTAGAAGAGCAGCACGTGACCTGTAACACCTACGTCAAACTTTATTTAGGGAAATCAAACTGACGGGTGTACATGTACCTTTGTGAAAGTAATGTTCGTGAGAACATTAACTCTTGGGCTCACGAACACACGTGCGATCCTCATTCTAGGAATCATACCCTAACCGCCACTTGCCTATGAACACTTACTGTTTTGTGTAGCGTTGTTCCTTGGCTTGGCACCAATTATGGCCAGATTGACGTTGGCCTTCCGCCCATCGATGATTGGGTTCGCGTCCGCGCATGCTAACCTCGCCGCATCCTTGGTTGCCATCGTTACCTGGAGCAAAATTCAAACGAAATTGAAATAATCGCCTCTTGTTTGTTATTCGCTAAACACCACAGCTTTGACTACTATGCCGGACATCTTTCAAATCGTGTCTTATCTCGACAAACTTATAATAATCTTAGCAATTTAGCCAACCTTAAAATAAATACAGCATCACTCTTATTTTACTCTTGAATATTCGGTATTTTTGTCGCATAGGAGATTTTATGGTGACTGGGATTTTACAAGGTGATGCCTATCCCGGAGGCACCTTTTTAACCGATCTGACCTTGCTTTAGGCTAGTGAGACTTATTGTAATTGGCAAAGCAAACTCAATTAATACATCGGTATCTGTCAATCGTCAAGCTATTACGTGTTTTACGAGATGTATCGATGTGAAGGGATTGTTGCATCTTGGGCAGGCTCACCCTAGATCTCGTTTAATTATTGCAAGGTACATGGAGTGCAAACTGTGTGACATGAAGCAAACGCATGTTTATCACGATTATATTTTTGTCTTTGATGTGAGCAAAAGCATTCAACCACAGGCAGTGAAGGCTTACCAATAACCGGTCAATGCAGTTTGGTGGATTGTACGTAAACAACTCATCGATTAAAATGCCAACGCCTAATTGTGCTGCTGACAATCGCGAATGGTCTCTGATTTTGCGCTAACATTGGTTGCTTGCTCTGTTTAATCAATGATAAAAAACAACATGCTTTTGGATTTGGGGGAATTTATTAGGTACAGTTTTAGCTTTCCTCGACCCCCTCCCCCATTCTTGGAGGAAGTATGGGTGCACCCCGGCTAACCTTGTTTTGGCACCCACTCTGTACTTTAGATTAGCAGAGCAGCCGCCCAAATGAAAAATAAACAAGAAGGTTCACTCATTGTCACCCTTCCATGCGAAGAGAATTCGGCGCTTCCGACTTACGCCCCCTAAGGGTCGTGTGTGTATCACAATACGAACACTGTTACATTCACATACTACGTAACACTAAGCACAAAATAACTGGCCCCTGGAGGTTTTTCCTTTTCCTAAAATGCAGACTGATCGGGGACACACTGCATTGGTCAGGGAGTTTTTCTTCTTTTTGAGCACATTTTGACAATGCCGATAAAGCGAGATATAATTATACAAAGAGCACAGACGGCTTGCCAGTGACGTCTATGACGGCAAGCGCCTTTCCCACGTAGTGCCATGATCTCGTTTTTATGTCCCCAAAGTCCGGCGTGCCGTACGTACCTAGTGCAATTATTCCTCCATTACATCACCCAGCAGAATTGAAGTCCTTCCCTTTAGAATCCGGAAATGTATTAACTCAGTTTCATACAAGTTGTTTTGTGGGCCAAACAAGGAAAGAAACAGTGCGCTATTATCAGAGAGATAGAGTCACTGTATTACAGGCATGAGTATTAATGTACATGTACACTGCATAGACATCAGTATGCATCGCACGAGACGGTCTCTTACCCGAGTCTGGTTGGGAAACACAAGACAGCAAATAATAGCTCGCGTAATTTTTCTTACACAGTCCACACACGTGCACTTTTATCAAAGCAATTACAAGGGGGTATCTTTTCAAGCGATAAAATGTACAAGGTGTCGATCCAATCTTCAGAATTCTCCCCAAGGTTCAAGAAGTTCGATTCTCTAAGACATCTCAGCTGAGCGCACAAACTGTAGTTTTGGTTGAGCACCACATCATGAAAAGACAGATGTCTTCAATGAGCCGTGGCTTTCATGGCTTGTCAGCGCAGGAAATTATCAGGATAATAGCGCAGTGGAGGTTTGCCCAGAGTGTGAGAAAAAAAAATTGAAAATGGAATCTCCACTCAAAGGGCCATGTCAACGAGTACATGCACCTCGACACGACCGGGAAAACACCACACGTGGCGAGGCTCTGCACATGAATGGCCAGGCTACCCTCCCCTAATTCCACTTTTATGTCTTGCTGTAAAATGACTAAATCGAGGCCAAAGCCTCAACCACAATAAATGGGACGGCTGTGTCCCCTCTCTTCCCCCCCCCCTTAAAAAAAAACACAGCCGTGTTCCGGTGAGCCAACCACCCACACTATAGAGTCCTTAATCATCACCAATCCCCAAAGAAGGCGATTTATGCTTAGCCATATGCCCTAATCCCCATTCCGATCCTCTTAAGGCTTACTTCTCCGAGGTTGTGTGTTGTGGATGAAATAATCTCTGATCTGATCAGGCTTTTTCCCTCGAAGACCTCAGTACATTGCATTGCAAGAGGCTTGCCAAGTCACGCCGACACGGTTCCATTGTCCACCCAAGACGTCAACGTCAGCACAGTCAAAGAGTCTCACACAATATTTCTCATCTCAACTGATGAAATTTACACGAAAGCAAGACCCCAAAACTCGAAGGAACATGTAACATATCGCCACCTACAGGAATACGCCTGTCAACCCCTAACAACATGTTACTGGCGGTTTATATTCGAAAGAAATGTGCTCCATCACTGTCAAACAATTCAATTTGTCACCGTCCATGTCGGAAATTCCCGTGTCCAAACATGGACCCAGCCACAAGTTCTCTCGGAACTGCCCGAAGCAGGAACTGTAACTGCTCCATAAACACCCCGTGTGGTTTCTCCACGGAACATTCCGGACCCGGACCGGCCAAACCTTTTTAACCTTACCCGAAAAGAACAATTACACCTTTGCCACTTTTCGGCGCCAAAGATGATTGATAATTTCCAGCACGAAAGCGACTTCTACATGAGTATCTTCACGCGAAGTCGACCCCATTCGTTTACCTTTAAATGGCGATGTGCGAGCATATGCCCTTTATGTATCACGTAATACTTCCACCGAATTCGAGCGCTGTGGGCCCCAATCCAGGGTAGTGCACTGTCTGACGAACTTCATAATTCAATAGATATACCGATACTCAGAGACGTGGAGTTGAATGGTTCACTTAGATTCAAAAGGTATGAAAGAACAAGCGTCCCGGAAAGATGGGGGGGGGTTTGAATCTGTTTCTCCTCGAAGTCGCCAGAGGTACAAATCACCGGTAACGTCCCAAGCCCTCCGTTGGTGAGAAAAATACACCACCAAGAAGAGAAGTGAAACGTAACGTCTACTCCGTCCAGATTATACGTTACTTATACTGTATTTCTGGGTTTGTTGTTAACAAGCCTTCGTCAAAAATGATAATTAAAAGACCTGAAAAAATGGCGGAGATGGTTACATTGCAGACAACCTACGGTATCTCAAATGTGCCTCCCTAAAGAAACAGCTGTAAGCCTGTAAGTCGACCAGGTAAGACGAGGTTGGGCACGAGATGTATCCGACGGGAGGTTTTATCAGTGACCCTTTTGACAGAGTTAGTGCATTGGCACGGGCACATCGCAGTTACATGATGTATCTAGAACGGAAAGTAAATGCTATTCAACAGAGGTCATTCCTACAGAGGACAATGCACGATTATTAAGAAAACAGTCTAAAATGTGTTTGCTTTCACTCAAGCAATCAACACGACATACCCACGCGGCCATGGGGGCGAACGTGTTGTTTGTAAAGGCCCACGGCTTTATACCTCCCGAACTAATCAAATTTTGACCAAAATTTTTATGTTACAGATTTCGAGAACTGAAGTGAATAAAAGAATGATGGATGTGTTTTCACTTTGTCGCTCGATTCCTCTCCCCCTTTTTGAGATAGAGGGGAAACCCGCGGCGCTGGTAAACTGTGACGGGGTTTGGGTCGGTTCGTTCCCGTTGGCGGTCCCTACTGCATCTGGGTCATAAACGCGACTATGATGAATGGCACATCCAACACCTTTTCATGCTTCTTTCGCCTCGCCGCGTGCAATACATGGTTGAGGATCCATTGGGAAAAGCTGCACCGTCCTGTCATTTTTTACAAAATATTTGGTATAGTCGTGAAAGGGCTCAGGTACAGTGGGTGGTAGATGGTCCGCGGTAATAGCACTGACTACTTTATAATCACTTGTTATTGACATTAAGTCCTGAGCCTACCTCCCACAAACCTTTCTGTCCCTCCCAACGTTTCCATTCAGTCTAGGCCTTACCACTTTGAGCAGACTATCCGAGTTGGTGTAGGGGCAGATACAGACGCAGAGTTTGCGGTCATAACATGCCCGTCACTCTGGGTTGCAAGTGTTAAAAAGACGCAAGCAAAGTTAGGCAAATGATACGGAATGATTATAGTGTCATGGAGAAAAGATACATTGACGGCTGCAACACGTTTGGATGGATGAAATGTTGAGATAGGTACACTGAGCCAATGTTGCGCTGACAAGGTCCACATTGAATAATTCTGGACCCATAACAGAAGTCGCACGTACTCCACCCAATGCTGTTCGTCGAAAAAGAAGCAAATACTTGCACACGGTGGCAACGAGAGAACAATAAGTGCACAGTCTACCAGGGGCATTCTATTGTTGCGCCCTGTATAATAAGGATTCGCTAGGCCTGCCGGGGGCCTTGTATAGTATGCGGTACGCCTTGTTTAACATTGTGCAGTTGGGTATATATACCGCTCACGTCATGTAACCACGGACGCTGATCCCGTCACTAGACACGCAATGTGCTTGTACCGAATTCACATACACCGTGTGAACTGTTCGATCTTGTCTCAATTACGTTTCTTTCGCTTTTGAAAATATCGGCAACCAAATATATATCGGTTTCATCAGTGAGCTTTTTTAAGCCATCAAAACGAGCTAATAATTATGGCCAATGATAAAATGCATAGAATCTAGTTTCAAATTGCTCCTTACTAAGAAATGCCCCGCGGTTGGCGCAGCGCCGCCAGGTACAATGACGTCCTGAGCAAGAATGAACCCATCTACGCCTTTAAACCTTTGCCCTTCTCTTGGTAGCAACGGACTGGGTTTTGAAATGTACAATACTAAAAGGATTCGCTTGCTAATTAATGGAATAAACCCATCATGAGGAACGTTGATCACCCCGATTTTCTGTTTACTTTGTCAAAGCTGATCGAGAAACACCGGGGCACTATTACATTGGGGTATGAGTCACTGACTAAATAGCTCAACGGCTGACATGCCATCCCATGCCTAAGTTGCACCCTATATCTGAAAGGTTTTGCTTGAAACAAGTATAGGCCTCTTTTCGATTGCTGCCGAGCACAGGAAGGCTTGTGCACAGCACAGAAAGAAGATGACTGCCAATTATTTTGTATTGGCTGCCGAAGTTTGCCAAATTTTCATCCTTGGCTGGCAACAGTTTCTTTTATCAATGATGCACATTGTCCCATTTGAGCTCTCGAGGAAGACTAGTCTCCACTTTGGTATTTAGTAGAAGTATATGTTTCAACAGCTGCGTGAGAGTTTGACACCGTGAACAATTATTATTCACTGCTTTTAGTCAATGGTTGGTCAGCCATTATTTGCGGCTTCAAGCAAAAACTAATAGTATACACATGGTTCTATAGCAACATGTAATGAAACAGGTACTTACAAAGCCGTATCCTTTGCTTTTTCCAGAGTTCCTGTCCGTGATGACAACGGCTTCCTCGATCTCTCCGAACGGCTCAAAGTACTCCCGTAGCTTCTCATTGTTCGTGTGGAAGGGCAGTCCTCCAACGAAGATCTTTGTCAAAGTTGTATCTTTCTTACCTTCCATTTTTGTTATCTTTACACGGTCTTTATCTATTTTTTTTTTTTGATGTTCGGATCGAGTTTGTGTCCCTTCACAAAACAGCAGACTCTTCTTCAATAATTATCCGGCCTGTGTGTAAATCTCCAGATCAACGGCTGAGAAAAGGCGCGATGAGGGTCATCAACACTGAGGTGGTGTGGATGTCAGTAGCTGCAGTCTGTTGATTACCTGATGGCTCGCGTGAGATTTGGGAAGCAGTTTCGGATCCAGGTAATCCACAAATATGCCCTGTCACTGGATGCCCGATGAGCAGATTCCCCTTCTCTAACAGAAATCCCGCCAAGCTTGCAGCGTTTGTATTCACGGTACTCGTTCACGCTTGGCAAAATTGCAGTTGTTAGACGCACCTCACCAGGACACGACCTACCTTTCACACCGTTGCTTACAGACTGACTGATCCTTGTGCTTTTTGACAGCCAGCGGTTCCACACTGAGTGTAATCTCCGCCTACTTTTGAATATTAACAACGCGGCTTTGCACCACAACCCTCGCGGCGTGCGTATGACAAACATGTACATGTACATGTAACGATCTCATAAATTATTCATTCCTGACTTACCCGTACATGTTCACAGCCGGGACCTTTATGTAGCGCATGTACGATACGAGCGCACTCTGTGGGTCACCTGTTGACAGTCAAGGCGGAGCCTCTGTGGCTGTCACGAGTCTCGCGTGTTACACACGAACGAGTTTGCCCTGCGATCATGGCCCGAGGTTCCAGCTGAGTTCGGTGGGGAGGGAGGTGACAATGGGCCGTCCTTGTCATTACCATGTCTGACGGAGTGAGAGCCGCGGGCACTTTGTTGCCACTCCACGACAACAGGACAGGGGCAAATCGCGGGCAAATTAAGCTTGACGTTTTCGCTTTGATCTTCATCTGTTATCAAGTTGTTTTTCAAAGATTTGTGGGCACTGCATTAACATTTATCCCGTCAGCGCTTCGGGCGTCTGGGCGCTGTCTGTCCATACGCTTTTGGTTTGTCTGTTTGTGCCTCACGTAGTATAGCTACTTTATACCTGTTCACGACTGTTTTCAGATTTTTTTATGTGTAAAAACACAGTATATCTACGACTGCAGAAACTGTCGTGGGACTCATGGGTCTTTCCGTGGACCACACCACCTCATTGTTCTAAATTTAAACTATATCAGGACATATCTCTGGAAATAACATTAGGTCACCTGTTTAGTTGTTAAACCTTCCAAATCTGTTGTTGGTCCATCTCGAAAAAAAAAGTCTCAATCGCCTGAATTTGTGGTTTGGCAGCCAAGATCACAGTCCTACACCTAATTTTGTTTTGAAGGCGACGGTTGCTTGACAGATCCGAAAGAAATTCGTTTCGACATTCTGTTTCTTTCGAAACTCCATAATGTAACAATGAACCTGTATTGGTTGGACCTTCCCAGCAGACCCCTAAGGCTTCTGAACATGATCGAGCAACAACAGAAATTGATGTTATCGTTGGGCGGTTGGATTTGTTCGAAAAGCCAGTGAAAACCTTTACCTTGTTCCATTTTCCTTCGTTTGTATGCCTTTAAAAGAGATTGGCAGATCGGAAAAACGGATTAAACAAGTTCGTAGATTTTTTTGTGCGAATTTTAGTTATTGATTTTTTTTTGGGGGGGGGAGTTGGAGACCACGTGAGGAATTAGCTTAAAAGGTTTTACCTCATTGGAAAATCTTGACCAATTTTTAGCAGCGTCTTTGAAGGCTAAATACCGGGAATCTTAAGTGGACCATTTCCTGGCCTAGAGCTAACCCCCCAAAAATCCACGGTCACGGTTGTTCAGGTCAGGTATGCCGTGCATGTACCTCAGCACCCAGTGCAATGCCTTTGGTGTATCTTTCATCAAATCCTCCCCCCCAAAAAATGACCCGGGAACCCACGGTTTTGCACGTATGCCCCATTCCCCAGCACCTCGTCTCCCCGAGCCGCGGCGGTGCCTGCACTCCCGAACGCCGTTTATTTGTGTTAAAAGAACTCGCGCCCTTTTTTTGCACGATAAATCAACCTGTTTTGATACAGGGACGGGATAACACCCTCATGCAAAAAAAATGATAACGACATGGATGATGCATGAAGCCCCGGTATTGGTCATATCAGTGTGGTTTATTAGGGAACGAATATCGTCTCGCCCTGATACCAATTTCTAAACAAATAGGACGAAGGGTGAAACTTGCCCACAGCCATGGTTTGAGACGAATTGAACTGTTGAGTGTATTTCTTTGTGAAGGTCTTAGCACGGAGTCCATGCTTCAGCGGCTATGAGCTTCAAGAATCAACTATTATACCCTTCTTTTCACTGATGAATTCTCTGGTATGATCAAAAATAGATCATGGATCTTCAAATAAGTTTATCAGGGCAAATGGAACACCTTGTGTACACGTTCAATAACACATTAATTCATCATTAAAAAGGAAAAATGCTAAAAAAAGAACAAAGGTAAATAGGCACACAATATCACAGAGAGGTTCTAGTTGCTAGCAAAAAGAATGAAAGCAGGAATGCAGTGAACATTTTTGTTGAAATAGTACAATCTTATCATTTTGGCTCTCTACGAAATGTAAAAGAGAAATGAACGACTCATTTTACAGAGCCATACGAACACCAATATTTTTTATGTGTTTTTCCACTCGACAAGGGCGAAAATCTGCAAGTGTCAGCTTCAAGTTGATTTCACTCTAGAGAGTCCGCTGCTTTCAGTTTGCAGCTGAAACGATATGCCATTTTTTGGTCTGACTCTGTTCGACATCCTCTAGTTATGCACCTCTTGAACTGTCGACACCAATACTGCTAGAGCTCCCAGCATATAGATCAAACCCATCAAAAAAAGGACAAGTGAACTGTAGAAAAGTACAAGTAGACATCAGAGCGGGAAAAACGCCAGAGGATTATGCAGGAAAGGAAAACATATTTGTGACAGAGTGTGTAATCGCCTTTGGGTCACAGCCAAAGGCAATTAACCAAACTGAACACCTGATTTTGAAAATCTTTCACTAACTTCGTCCCCTGGCCGTCGAGTCCACTGGCGTAACTATTGTGAGCGAAGGTTTTACGTCCACTTGACGTGAAGCCCTTGGCAGGTTTGCCTCAATCACATCGCCTAATCCTCATTTGTCTGAGGATTAATATCAATACAGGAAAATAAAGAAAAGGAAAGAATCAAATGGGGAAGGGGGATATGTGACCAGCTCTGGGTCGGGATCATGTTTTCGTTGCAAAATGGAAAGAAAGAAAATCCGTTCCCTTGGATCAGGTGCTCACGTTGACAGGACCAAGCCATGGCAGGCAAGAAAATCGGAACTGCATGCCTGAGGATCATGATGATAGAACCATAAAAAAGGGAGTTTTCCTGACATATTTTTCGCGCGGTGCATGTGTCCCTCAGCTAGACACTACGCAAGGATTCCTTTCCGCCAAAAAGGTGCAAAAAGATAACTTTTAGGGCAAACCAGAAATTGCAGTTGGCCTAACAGGTACCACCACAACTCTATATGCAGGCTTCTCCGCGCTTCGCTAATTTAGCCAAATTGCTCGTTAAGAAAGGAGAAGTTAAAGGACATTCATAGATGGTGACCAGGATCATTTCTGTCAGTGGCGTTATTGATAAAGTTAGGTGGTGGAATGTCTCCGAAATTCACGTGAAACCTCTTTAATAAGGCGTTCTATAGAAAGATTGTGGTTAGCAATAAATTCGAAATGTAATTTAACTCAATTAGATGAAAATGAAACTGTAGGCCTAATGTTGTTATGGAGGAGATACACAAACACACAAAATGTGTTTGGAAATATTTTTGCCTCAGATGGGAATAAAAAATGTCAGTTTTTTTTAAGACTATTATAATCTGAGCAGAACGGTAAAATTTTATTCATTTGCAAATAATTCTTTATGTGGTGCCAGCAAAAAAACACAAAACAAAAACAAAAAAACAAAAAGACAGGTTTGAAAATGATAACTGTTGCCAAACTAACATAGTTTGAAAGTTAACATTTCCAAGAAACAATCATGCCTCAAACTGGTCTTTCTTTTCTTAGTCTTCACATCATGAAGGGTAATTTTTATGATCATTTCTTCGAAGGTTTCCTTCATCGTTTCTGGTGAGACGACGTAAAACTGAATTATACATATGCTGAGTTACACTGAGTAAATATCTCATGGCCTCTCGGAGTGCCAACTGCAATAAATTTAATTTCAGCACCTCTGATTTGATCTCAACAGGCCGTGACGTCACGCCGCTCGACCAGGACGACCTCCACGGGGATATGCAATTGGTTTGGATGCGTGATCGAATGCGCACTGACATTTTTCTCATTGTCTGGTCGTGGCGACGGATTGACATTGGTCCAGGGTCTAACGTCCCCAGGATGGGTGTGGTCGCCCTGAAACTTCAACCACTCCATATTTGCGAACAGGTCGATAGTTACTGACAAGACCTATTACCCATGCACACAGATTCGTTCGGGAGTCGCACGCCAGTGCATGTGTGGTAAGAGCAAATGAATCACAACACATTTGACAAGTGTTAAATGGAAAAATGGATGGTGATAGGCCTATATCAACTCACAGAACTGTTACAAAATACCTAATTGAACGTTCACCGTGTAAACAGCAGTCTGGAATATGCTTAAGTCGCTATCCTATTCAAATGAGTTCGTTACTATATGAGGAAATCTTCTTGAACGAAGGAGCCTCCAACCTCAGAGCACTTCACAGTATACCTTGAATCACCACGATGAAACCCTCCCTTAACTTTCCTCCAAACCTCACACCCTGCATATTGGACCGCTCCATGAAGTTTCTTCAACAAAACCTCGGGCAAACACAGCACCTCTCAATCAGTCTCACATTGGTAGAACTTCCAAACGCAATGAATGTACCACCCAAAGGCCTCCAGCCACACCTCCGATTCAAATCCCCAAAACCCAGTCCCAATAAACCTCAATTCCACCCAGGCTGTCATAATTCTGATTCAACTAGCCGTCTTTTTTCTTTTGTCGTCTGTTTATCATCGCCGACGTAATTTAACATGTTTACATGACACTCTCACGTTATAAACTAGATCCCTGGCTGTTTCTCAGTACAACCAACCCCGAACATTCATCTTAGCTCTGCTTTACCCCACAAAAACGGCAGAATGATATGAAAATGAGGCACATAGCCCAGGCGATTAGCCTGTTTTCTCGAAGTCGTCACATCTTGTACCTTGAGCGACCTATTCAGGCTGGCAACATGTCTCCTCTACCAAGAGAGAAACAATATCAAGTAATATTACTCCTTTCGCCTCATAAATAATACTTGCCGTATCTGTTAGACACGGGAAGGTGAACCGATGTAAATTAACGCATAAATTGTCAGAGTGTGTGGTGCTGAGGCGTCACAGAGTGGCCACCGTGACCCTTGGTGGTACATTTTAAAGGTT